AAGTTTCTGATCCAGAAGCGTCTACAAAACATATTCATTACTTACCTTACCTGAGTGAGTCTAACATGGCTAAATACAACTTTTCACAGATGACTTCTTTCTTCTTCCATTGCTGAGCTATCTGCCACTTTTGCAAGCTAGAGTGATAAATCTTTTCGACCACAAAGGTAATTTTCCTCTAAAATGTCACCCAGATAATCTCTCACAGGATTAAATACTGTTTCACAGTATTAGTTACATAAAGGGGGACTGATTTCTTCCTTTAAAAAACCAACTCCACTTGCAAGTCACAATGTGGGTTCAAAAATGATAGGTGAAGCATGGATGACATAGTTTCCAAAGCTAATAAAGCACTATGTGGGGCTGCCCTTTTAATTATTATCTGGTAAGTAATACTTAAAAGTAGCAAACAGGGGGCCTCCCTGGTGGCGCAGTGGTTGAGCGCTGCGTTGCGAGGCTGCCCGCAGCCTCTGCAGTCTCTGCAGCACCAGTTCGATCCCTGGCCACCAGCGAGGGTCCCCAAAAAAAAAAAAAAAAAAAAAAAAAAAAACCTTGCATACAGGCCCCTAGAGTTCAGAGATTCACATTGAATTCCAATGGTGAAATAGGTCTTATGCTCTATTGTTTCATTTAGAAAAATAGAGTTTTTCTATTCTTGCCTACTTTCTTTCTGGCATTAAAAAATGATAGAATTGTGCAAGTCATCTCTAATGTGATTTAGTATAGACTTTGGCTTTGAACCCATGGTTATAAAACACAATGAGATGTAAAACATTTAACTTAATATTCTCTCCAAGTTGTGCTGTCAGTTTATGTAAAATTCCCTGTTGCTTTTACTAAAATGTATAACTTTTTAAAAAGGCAAATGTATCTAATAAATGATGGAATGTTTTAATTTAAAAAGTCCAAAGTTATTTAGAATAGTTTCTAATTAAGTTTTCAATGACATTTAACAACATCATTTACTGCTTTCTTCTTTTTCAATGAAAGAATTAGAGCAAATGTTTTAGAATACTGCAGTGATCTAAAAGAACACACATTTACCTAATGTGTTCCTTTGTACCAGGCACCGAAGTAGATGCTTTCTCAATGTTAGCCCATGTGTTGGGCTATTTCCTTGTCTGTGGTAGGAATCTGTGATATTTCCTTGTCTCCTGAATTTAATAAATACATTGGGAGGAAAATCCTCCATTTTCCTTGAAAAAGTCTATCAAGAAAAGGATATTGAGAAAAGCATTCAACCGGCAGCTTGCTCATGGTTTCAGACTGATTAAAGAAAGAAAGAGGAGAGGTAACACAGGCACATGCTTGTAGGAGATAATGTGTAAACCAAATGCAGGGAATGTTTTTAATGATTTCAGATTGCAACAGGTAAAAAGTGTGGAAAGACAGATCTAGTTATAGTAGCCTCTATGGGGGAAGATTTATATTTCTAAAAAGTTATATAAAGTCAGGGGAACCTGAATTCAAGTCCTAACTTTGTCACTACCTATCTGTGTGACCTGGGTCAAGTTACTGAGCTTCCTGAGGCTCAGTTCACTATCTCTAAATTGAGGTTTGACATTATCTAGCAGCCCTGGGGTGGTTAAGTTTAAACCAGATATCCCATTAAAAATGCTAGGTGCCTAGCTTATAGAAACCAATAATTTTTAATACTAATTTATTATTGTTACTTGTATAACTAAAAAAATTCTACCAGCATTTGACTGAAAAGAATCTTTATGAAATATAAATTAGACTTTATTGCACATTGACATAAATAATGGCAAATTGAAAACAAATATATAATTATATTACTAACCATTAAAACTCAACCCATCTTCTTCATATGGTTTCATTTGCTCCACATCTGATTTGACACTGAACTTAATGGACTTTATTTAGCACTTTCATATATTTAGAGAATGTACATAAATTTATAGCATTTTGGGTGATTTCAGATAGTATATTTATATCTATATTTATAAATATATCAGATAGTATATTTATGATAAAAATATAATAGTATTTAAGAAATTTCATCAGTCATTGACCAATTTATTTTACAAATATTTTTCAGAATAACAAGGCAGTGTGCTAAACAAAGTAAATCAGGAGGATAAAGACATATATTGCATGGTTTCACTTATACATGGAATATAAAGAAACAAAATGAAGGGTTATCAAAACCAAATCAGTAACCCTAGAAATCTGTCTGTAGAATTAAGATTCCTGGGCCTCCCTGGTGGCGCAAAGGGTTAAGTCTCAGCACTATGAATCTACCTGCAGTCACAGCAGCACGAGTTTGATGCCAGGCCAGGGAGCTGACCCACATGGTTCAGCAGACTTCTCCTGTTTAGCCCGCTGCTCCCCTCAGCAGTGTATTTCAGTCAGTCTGCCTTTTCTGCCCCCCACTTTGTCTTTGGTGAATCCTCTCACCCCTTTACCTCTGAATCACATACAGTGTTTGTAAAATTAAGGAGAAAAGAATACAAAATATAAATAGAATATATAATATAAAAAGATATTCTTTGTTGATATACCAAAACAAAATGAAAACCAGTTTTATTTTCTGAAGAATTATTTAAAAAACACCACCACCACCACACGATATTTCTTACATAAGCTCAACTTTGGAAAAGAGTGCATTTACTCTTCAAACTCTCATTGAGATTCCTTTGAGAACCCTAAACATTAAAAAAAACCCACAATTATATAATCTATTAATTGCCAAACAGATTAGGGTATTAGATAATATATATGATTATATTCAAAATATCTACTAAGTTGTAAATGTAGTAAAAGCCTTTCTGTATAATTTGGTTGTTTATTTTACTAACAATATGAAAGGCAAGTCAGTTAATCTGAGCTAAGACGAGCACCACAGAGAGACCATTCCTGTGGTTAGACCCAGGGAAAAGATAGGAAGATGACAAACTTGCCAATCTAAGAGCCCTCCTGAATGGTATACCCCCCTGCAATGGTATACTCAGCTTTCTGTCATTATGGAAAGTCTTGTAGGCATTGGCACATGTGCAGCCATTCAAAACTACAAACCTCATTATCTTAATAAACAATCTCATAACCAAATCCTACTCATGGGAGTTAAAGAATTAAGTTAGTCTTCTCAGCTATGAGAATAATTTGAGGAACTAAAGACAATCTTTATTGTTTTAGAAAGGCTCTAAATTTAGAGAGTAGATTCAGCACTCTACTGTATGATAGAAATTACTTACGCTTAACAGTAGTGAAAATTTGAACTAGCAATGGATATTGTTTATTTTTATATTTTTGTAATATAATAAAAAAGAAAATGATTCTAGAAGATAGCACTAAGCATCACAGAAAATCAGATTTCATCATAAATGTGTCAAATTACCAAATCAATAAACAATTTACATGTGACTCTTACTGTAATAAAACAATATTAATTTGACTTTTTTATTATTTATTTGTTTTAATCCTGATAACCTACTTTGTAGAAAAAATGTCACTGGGCAAGTCTGAAAAAAATTTTGAGGGCTTATTCAATTCTATATGGCTTTACACTAATAATGTTTCAAGGCAGTTATAAGTACTTGATGAGATAAATGCATGTGTGGAGCTTAATATCAAGAAACAGTCTCTCTGGCATCGGTAATCAAACAATTACGAAATGGAAAGTACATCTTGTACAAGCTGACAGAGCCATTAAATCAGGAAAGCTGTGGGCAGACATACTGACACTGCAAGAATTACCAGAAAGCATTAATTTCAGCATTAATAAAATGGCAGTAAATAGATGACAGTTGGCAGATGAACTAAGAAATAAGGTTACTGGCCTTGTTGAGCTCGCGTCTGATTTTCTCAGGCACAAACTGGTCGAGGTAGCGTCTGAAGTGAAGAGCATCAATGGCGACGATTTCAGTGCCGCGCCGCTGCCAGTCATCCCTGGGGCAGGACAGAGGTGGGGTGAAGATGAGTAACTGGGAAAGCCATTCACAAAATAAAGCCCTTGTGGGTTCGGGTTTCTTAGACTTTGGTGGGGCTAAAATATTAAAACAAACAATCCAGTAGTTACAGGTCTCAGCAAAACAGGAGGGCAGAAAATACCGTTTTAGTTTCAGATTCTAAGGCATACACATTGTGGAATTCCAAGCATTACAGTAAAATTAAAAACTATCAAGACAAACAACAGTATAACATAGTCTAAACAGGTATACCATTTGCAGGCAGTCTCAGAAATTAAAGGATTTGGGGGTAAACAAAAGGAACTTACTTCTTTGTTTTCCTCAAATACTAAAGACATGGTGTTTGTATCTCAACAAATGTTCACTTCTCCTTTGCTTTGAAAGATCTGTGCTAAGTTACTGGGTTTGAAACATTACCACATATTATCAAGGAAAATATAATATAATAAAAAAGAAAATGTAATATAATAAAAAAGGAAATAATCTTCAGAAGCATTATATAAAAAATGTGTAATGACTAAATACAACATTCTACCTACTGTGCTCAATTACTGACGGTACAAAACTATTTTTAAAAAGACAACAGTAAAGCAGACAATAACACATAGCTTGTAGAAACAGGAAGGACTGGGTCAGATGATAGCTTTGGAAAGAAGAAATTCTGAATATCCCATCTCTTTATAAATTTGCACATTGATGGGTAAAGCAACTTCTCACACTAAAGAGAAACAGAAATCTTCATGTTAGCCTATAAATAATAATCAGAAATTAAGCATCCACACAGGTCACTGTTGCAAACAGTTTTAACAAAACAAAGGAAAAGAGACAAAAGAATGGAGATATTACAAAGAGTACATTTTATAGCTACACACATATGCATGTACATAAGGGCTTGCAGGCACCATTTCGTTAAAATTTATCTCTGGTAAACCATTTTAGTGTGGAAGCAAGAATGCCAAAATGATGTTTCAGTAAGAAACAGAAAACAGTAGCAGCAAAGTTCACTGTAGGCTCTGCATTCAACTGTTTTGTGGCATTTGGCAAATTGTTCCAACACAGGTTTCCCCCATCTACCTAAAAACACAGATAAATTAAGGATAACTAAATATACTAAAGACTGTAAGCTCTAATTGGAACCAATTCCAAATAATTTGGAGTTGGAAATTAGCCTCCAATGACTTCTTACAAATGGCAGCTGATAGGTAAAAAATTGTAGATTTCTGCTTTTCCAGTTCTTGGTTTAGACTTCTGGTTCTTCCTTTTGGTATACAGAGATGATGCTATTCTTTTAAATACTATTGTATTTAAAAATAGTATAGGGCCTCCCCGGTGGCACAGCTGTTGAGCGCTGGGTTGTGAAGCTGCCCGCAGCCTCCGTGACGCTGGTTTGATCCCCAGCTGCTCCCCGGCCACCGGAGGAGGGTCCCACATGGCGCGCTCAGATCTATCCTGCCGCCCACTGCTCCCCTCAGCAGTGTACTTTGGTCCATCTGCCTGCTCTGCTCCCCACTCTGGCTCTGGTGAATTCTCTCACCCTCCCGCGCTTCTGACTGTACCCAGTGTTTGTATGAATAAATAAATAAATCTTTAAAAAAAAAAAAAGAAAAAGAAAATTCTAACAACCCTAAAAATAAATAAATAAAAATAGTATAGTAGAACCTGTACTACTGAATTTTTTTTAAAAAGTCAAATCGCTGATATAAGAGTATATAGATGGGAGGCAAAATGTACCACTAGCTCTTGCCCAAGCCAATACTAGAATAAGAAATGAACTCACCTTTCACTCTTGTCTTCATGGCTCCGAGCCCAACGATATGTTTCAGCATAGCCTGTGTATTCACTGTACTGTTCAGTACCTGAAACGAATCATCTGCTGTTATTTTTCTGAAGACTTTTTTCTTAAAAAGCTGTACTTTCTAAAAGAGTCTATCAATAAACGTATTCCTCCTTTCTGAAATTATCTTATTGGCAAATACCAATTTATTCTCCCCCAAGTTTTCTTGATTTGCCATTAGTTTACATAACTGTACAAATATCAATTAAAAAAAGAACCACTGGTCTTAATGACCCGCTACTATTTCCCATAAAGAAAAAAAAGTTATACCTCTAAACACCACCAAAATGTTTATCATTTAGTGACTAAATGTCTCAAAATAGAAAACAAAATATGCTGTCATTTAAAACTGCAGAGGTACCATCACATAGCCAACAGAATGGGTAAAATAGAAAAGAATAACACTAAAGGTTGGCAAGGAAGTACAAGTAGAATTCTCATTATTGTTGGTAGAACATAAAGGAAAAAATTGTCCTTTTAAAAAGTTTTTGGCTATTCTCGGTTCTTTGCATTTCCATATAAATTTTACAGTCACCTCAATTACTATTTTTAAAAGTCTGCTAGAAGCAATATTGTACCAACATTGAGTCTACTAACCCATGAGCATTGTCTATCTTTCTATTTCTTTACATCTTCTTTACTTTTTCTCAGAAAACAATTTAGCAATTTCTTATAAAACTAAATATACACTCATCCTTTGGCCTAGAAATCTCACTCCTAGGTACTTACCCAACAGAACTAAAAATGCATGTCCACAAAAACCATACAAGAATGTTCACAGTAGCTTTATTCATAATTGTCTTGTATTGGTAAGAATATAGGCTGAGAACCAGAACCACTAGGAGATATATATTAAGAGATTCAGTGCAAGGATGTGACTTATGAAATTTTGGAGGCTGACTAGACAAGTCTGAAGACTGGACATTTCAGGCCGACTGAGGCTGCTGCCCACAAGAGGAATATCTTCTTCAGTACAGCCTCAGGTGTGCTCTTAAGGCCTGAGAGTGAATCAGACTCATCTAGGATAACTTACATTTTTTCAAGTCAATCAGTATGGACTTTAATTATATCTAAAGAATATTTCTATAGTAACACCTAAGATTAGCATTTGACTGAAAAATTGGGGGCTCTAGCCTAGTGAAGTTTCATATAAAAAAAGATGACCACAAGCTTCAAAGTGGAAACACCCAAGTGTCTATCGGTAGGAAATAAGCAAAACATGTGGCATGATCATGCAAAGGAGTGCTACTTAGCAATGAAAAGGAAAGATATGCTGATATACTAAAAAAAGTAGAAGAAAATCACACATGCTGAGTAAAAGAGTGCATATTATGTGTACTTACATGAAATTCCTTAAAAAGACAAAACTAATTTGCAATAAAAAGAAATTGTGATTATTTCTAGGGCTTACATGGGGATTTACCAGAAAAAGATGCAAGGGAATTTCTAGTAGCACCAGACATACTGTTTTTTTTTTTTTTAAAGAGGCATGTATTTTTATTTATTTATTTGTTTGTTCGTTTGTACATGCACTGGGTACAGTCAGAAGCGCCGGAGGGTGAGAGAATTCACCAGAGCCAGAGCGGGGAGCAGAGCAGGCAGAAGGACCGAAGTACACTGCTGAGGGGAGCAGCAGGCGGCAGGAGAGGTCTGCGCGCCATGTGGGACCCTCCTCCGGTGGCCGGGGAGCAGCTGGGGATCGAACCTGTGCGCAGAGGCTGCGGGCAGCTTCGCAACCCAGCGCTCAACCGCTGCGCCACCAGGGAGGCCCCAGACATACTGTTTTATGTGTTGTAAATTGGTGAATCTAGGTAAGTTTATATGGACCTTCATTGTATTATTCTTGCAACTCTATAAATGCAAAACTTCTCATACACAGAAATATAATTTAAATATTAAGTAAAGCTATAAAAATACTAATCTATTTTGTGTATGATTAAAAATTTTCATAACTTATAAAAGATGTAGACTTGGTGATAGTTTCTAGTCCATTACTTAGCATACTATTTCTTAAAAATAATTTATACCTTAATTCCTATAAATTCATCTAAATTTATCAGTAAGATACTTAGCCACAAATCAAGAAAACAACTGCAATATTCATGATGTTTCTTGAGTGAAGCTTCTCTTGACACCATAAGGAGAGTTGGTTGTTACTTCTCTGTGTTCCACAATATTTTGATATAAAATTGGTAATTTTTTTACATAACATTAAATTGCAATCTGAAAGTTAATTCTACTTCTATAAAGTAGCAATGAACAATCATAAATTGAAATTTCAGAAATATATTTACAATAGCAACAAAAAATATGAAATACTTATGAATAAAGCTGAGAAAATATAAAAAGAGTATATGAGGAAAACGATAAAATATTACTGAGAAATTTAAGACTAAGAGACATCTCATTTATGTGTTAAAAGTTAAACATAGGGGCCTCCCTGGTGGCGCAAGGGTTGAGACACAGTCTGTGAAGCTATCCGCAGCCATTGCAGCACAAGTTCGATCCCCGGCCAGGAAGCAACGCACATGGCGCAGCAGACCTCTCCTACCTCGCCTGCTGCTCCCCTCAGCAGTGTATTTCAATCAATCTGCCTGTTCTGCTCCCCACTCTGTCTCTGGTGAATCCTCTCAACCCCCACACCTCTAGCCTGTACCCCAGTTCTTATATGCATAAATAACCTTAAAAAAAAAAAAAGTTAAACATAGTCAATATGTCAATTCTCCCCAAACTGATTTATAGATTTCAAAGCAGTCTTAAAATTCAGCAGGCTTTTTTTTTTTTTAAGAGTATTTATTTATTTATTTATTTATTTATTTATTTATTTATTTATTTATTTATTTATTTATACAAGCACTGGGTACAGTCAGAAGCGTGGGAGGGTGAGAGAATTCACCAGAGCCAGAGCAAGGAGCAGAACAGGCAGAAGGACCGAAGTACACTGCTGAGGGAGCAGCGGGCGGCAAGAGAGGTCTGCACGCCATGTGGGACCCTCCTCCAGTGGCCAGAGAGCAGCCGGGGATCGAACCGGTGCTGCATAGGCTGCAGGCAGCTTCGCAACCCAGCGCTCAACCGCTGCGCCACCGGGGAGACCCTCAGCAGGCTTTTTAAAATATTAACAAACTGACTCTAAAATTCACCAAAATAATTCTGAAGAATAAAGTTGAAGGGCTCACACTGCATGATTTCAAGAATCATTATAAAGTTATAATAATCAAAACAAAAATAACAAATTAATAAATTGGATTTAAAAATTAGAAACTTCTGTTCTTCAAAAGATAATGAAAAGATATGCTACATATAATTGATAAAGGACTTATATCCAAAATATATAAAGCACTTTCAAAACTCATCAACAAAAAAATTAAAAACATGCATAAAAGATAGTTTATTATACGTAGCCATTGTATCTAAACTTATATAACTTTATACTTTAAATATAATACAGTTCATTATATGTCAATTGTTTCTCAATAAAGCTGTTAAAAAATGTAATGTGACTCCCTCACCACAATGTCTGCTTTTCGGGGCAGGGATTATAAATTAATATTATGTCTATACTATTGCATCTTGTAATGCAAGAATATGGAAGCAGTTGAGTAAGTATGCCACATAAGCATAATAGTTAATAAGCACAATAGGAACACCACCATATTAACTGAAGCTAAGAAGCACAGAGAAATTTAATCTGAAGGTATCATGTAACTGCCACATATAAAAAAATTCACATTTACAAAGACAGTATGGCATGATTTTAAAAAAGAACACCACACTGATGTTAGGAGACATGACGTACCCAAAGTGAATCCTTACATAATAAATCTCATTGGACTTCATCTTATCTATAAATCAAGCCTGTTAATAAATCTTATCTTGTTTACCTTCTGGAATTGCTTAGAAAACCAAGTAAGATGAATTTAAAATTTTTCAAAACCACAAAGTAGCTAGTACTGGGGTCATTAAACTTAACGTAAGGGAGGTAAAGATATATGACTGCATTTATATGGAGTTTATGAACAATCTGGTCTATCAAAATAAAATGTCAGGAATAGTCTTGTTCTTTTCTAATTTCTGCCCTGCAGTGGACTAGACTCATTTCTTCCTGTTTATCCCCCCCCCAAAAAAAATTACTGTTTACTTAGATCTCTTAAGTATGAAAACAAACACTTGTTTCTTGAAAATAAAGTAGTTGGGAAAAATATCAATTATCATAATTCTACTTCAAGTTAGGATGGTTTCAGTCTTCTTTTCCAAGAAGAACAAAGTTAGATTTTAGGAACGAGAAATAGAAAATGCACATATAGATGCTTGCACTCTAATCAAATTAGGTCCTTTTCTAAGCAGACATCTTTCAAAATTATGTCCTCCATCAGTTCTAAAAAATGGATGGTCTTAAATTGTTTTAAATTCAAATTCACTTATAAACTATGATGAAAATGCAAAAACAAATAATAATAACAAGACAAAAGATTGAATGAACTTTGTGTCTAGGGACACATGTTCAAAGACAATCTTCACTAAAGGACGAAAATTTGAAGAGACCCATTAAAATCTTTTCAAGGACAGCTTTATGAGTTTTTGGATTTAGTAGTAAGAAACATTCTAATACCCTCTTCATAAAAATGAAAATTTGTGATGAACACAGGAAAAAATATTTGAAGGTTTAAAAAAATTGCATTGACCAGTGAGTTGTTCCCTTGTAAAGGATTATATGAAAACCAGCCACCCACTTTCTATTATTAACACTCACACATTGGTGCAGCAGACAGAACACTCTTGCCTTCATTTCCATGATTAATAAAAATTAAGAAAAGGCAAACTTCAAATGAATTTAAATCATCCCCAATGAGCTGGTGTCATTTAGTTAGCAATAGGCTGTTTGTGTTGTTAGTGACAGGCAGCTCCTATAGTGTGACTCTGTAAGACAGTCCCAGTACTAGAAATAATGGTGTACACTTTTGTCCTTTTATCAGTTCTACGGACACTCACACAAGATATAAAGATCGATGGTCTGGAATGTTTTGATTCAGTAAAGGGCAGGTTATATGTGAGATGTACAAACATTCTGCTCAGTAAGTTTCATGTGCAGGCATTAGTTTTATGTGCTCACCAAACAGAAACAATAGAACAATCTCCAAGGTCCACTGCAGCACACTTTGGTATTGAAGTGATTTGCTGGATGTTGTAGAGGAACAGAAGGGGAAAAAATGGAAGATTGGAGTTTTAATTCTTTCCCTCTATCTAGACTTTTACTGAAAGGTTTTAACTCATGGCTACCCCAGGGAAGATGACAGCAAATAGAGGAATAACACTGTCTGGATAAAAGTATTTGCCTGTTTGTATGACCTGTTTCATATTCATTTAAAAGTCTGATACCAACCAGATGCCCTACAATGATGATAAATTTAATTTATTTCCAATTTCTCAAACTCTTCTACAGATTCAGGCAGCATAGTCACAGCCATTAGCTCACGGAGCCTAGATGCATCATTGAAGGAATGGAATTGATCAGGCAGACAGATTGCAGTGCATAGTTAAGAGTGTCCAAAGAAGGGAGATGGCAGAAATCCAACATCAAATAGATGATGAAATGGCCATTTCCATTAAGGGAACTTCACATCACAGATATTAATTAGGAGGCACTATAATAAAGTTAAGTGGATGTGGGGAAAAATGCTGAGTTAAAAGTCACCCCGGATGTCCTTAGCCTGAGGTAATTACAGATCTGAAAGTGAGTCATAGAGCTGCAATTTTCCCATTCAGTTTTACATTGAATGCAGGTAAGCTAGAGACCAGATGTAGCCACAGAGTAAGGATACTCTTTTAGATTGAGGGCAGACTATTTAAAAAAAAAGAAAAATTCTAATGTTTTCCTGTTAGTATTCTCAAGGCATTTATATCCTGTATATCCTTTATAGTAACATTAATGGTAGATGACAAGAGACTTACTACTTCCCTAGTACAAGAAAATGAAGCAAATGAAACAAATTAGTTTTGAGTTTAAATGCCCAGTCTTCTGCCAACATTTTAAATTCAAGGATGTAAATTCATCTTAAAAAAAATTTTTTTTAAAAAGATTTATTTATTTATTTATACAAGCACTGGGTACAGTCAGAAGCGCAGGAGGGTGAGAGAACTCACCAGAGCCAGAACGGGGAGCAGAGCAGGCAGAAGGACCGAAGTACACTGCTGAGGGGAGCAGCGGGCAGCAGGAGAGGTCTGCGCGCCATGTGGGACCCTTCTCCGGTGGCCGGGGAGCAGCCGGGGATCGAACCGGCTGCAAAGGCTGCAGGCAGCTTCGCAACCCAGCGCTCAACCACTGTGCCACCAGGGAGGCCCCTCATCTTAAAAACTGATGGAATATTTTGTTTTGAGTCTTCAGTTCAAAACCAGGTTAAGTGCTAAAACTTTTAAAACCCTTTAAAGTATTATTTGATATGTCCAAATGCTGGAGATAGTAACATTTCAGGCCTTCAGAGCTTCCTTAAAACAATATGAGATCGATATTGAGAGTATTTAGTTGCCTAACAACAGGTTTATGACAGTTTAATTTTTTTTTGGTACGTCTGTGTACTCTCTTCTCCCCAAATCCTTTCCAACTACATCCTTCCAATCGGCATACATAATAACAATACAAATAGATGATCCTTATGGGAGTTGAGGCAATGCTGAGAATAAAAGAATTTTTTATTTCTATATCAGTATAATTTGTATGACAACCTCAGACTTCTTGGATCAAATACTTCAGGTTATTAACTTCAAATAGCTGAGGCTCTACTCAAGTGGAAATTCCTTTGCTAAAGTTCCTTTTTTACTTACTTTTTTTAAAGATTTTATTTATTTTTGCATAGAAGAACTGGGTGTAGCCAGAGGTGCAAGGGGTGAGAGGACTCACCAGAGACAGAGAGGGGAGCAGAGAAGGTGGATCTGCTTAAATATGCTGTTAAAGAGAGCAGCAGGCGAGACAGGAGAGTCTGCTACATCGTGTAGATAGCTCCCTGCTGGGGGTAAAACTCAGACTGTGGTCGTGGGCCATCATGGTGGGCCATCGAGGTGATAGCTCCCCAAGGCCACCAGGGTGGTCCCCATTTTTATATTGTTATATGAACTCAAACAATTAACAAATTCTCGCCTTCATAAAAACAGTAAGATTAGCAAAAATTATGAGAATCAATTTTTTCTGAACTTTGTAAATTAACCAAAGACTTGCAGCAATTTTAGAAATGCTTATTAAAGAAAAATTGGGCTAATTCTTGGAAAAAGCTGTAAATTTTGTGGCATTTTAATTTGCCCTATTCCTTTTCTACTCTTTCAAGCTCCAAGTAGCCTCAAACACCAACAGTCTGTAATCATAGTAAAAATCAACAGCCTGAGAGTGAAAAAAGAGTAGGCAAAGGAGAGCTGCAGTTACTTCAAAGTCCATTTTCAGAGAATTGTCATCATTTGACTCCCTGACAGTGCTGGCTTTATTTTATCACATTGGAGCCAGCGCAAAATGACTGTGAGACTTACTCATTCTGGGTATCTAAGGAAATCTCTGACCAATCATTAGATGGTTACTAATCCTACCAAGCATAAACTTTAGTAACCATACATAAAAAAGAACATATACTTTAAAAATTATTTTAAATGTAGTAAAAAACCTAAAGGAAACTATGTCTTAGAACTAAATGAAAGTATGAAAATAATGCCTCACAAGTAGAGAATCTCAATAAATAAAATAACACAAGTAAAGAATCTCAATAAAAGGTATTATTATAAAAAGAACTTTAGACATTCTGAAGTTGCTGCAATAACTAAAATAAAAATTTCACTGGAGGGATTCAAAAACAGATTAGAGCAGACGAAGGGGGAATCAGTAGACTTGAATACAGGTCAATTGAGATTAACCAGCCTGAGAACGTAAGAATGTAGAAAAATAAGCAGAGCTTCAGAAATCAGTGGGATACCACACCATCAAATGTACCTACATGTGCATAATGGGAGTTGTAGAAGTAGAGATAGAAAGGGAAAGATTATTTGAAGAAATAATGGCAACAATTTCCCAAATTTATTTAAATACTCAAGATGCTCAATGAATTCCAAAAAAAAGATAAAGTGAAAGAGATCCACACGTACATACATCATAATCAAATTATTAAAAGACAGAAATAAACTTGAAAGCAAAGCATAAGAAATGAAATTTAGATCTTCTCCTGAAGGTTGCCTATAAATGTATCTGGGGCAATCTTTAAGATTTGACCTCAGCATTTCAGTTTTGTCATAAATTAGTTGAGTATACACTGTAATAACAATTGACCAAATTATCCAACACTGTTGAACCAAATTCAACACTGTTGAATCTTTAGTTTCTTAGACTAAATTCAAAGCAGGAAAAATTCAGAGAAAATAAATCCTCTTTCTGCAGAAAGAAAATAGTATCAGCAATAGATGGCTAATTATGGCTTTTATGTGGGCATGTTCTTTCAGGTACTCAAAAATAAATGGCTTAACTTTCCCATGGTGTCTAATTTACAGTTTCTTAAGAACTTTGAGTTAATCATTAATTTGTACATTCATAAGAATATACTGTGGCATAGTAATAAATCAAATCAAAAAAAAGAAAAAAAAATTGAATCTTAATAGCACACCTAAAGTATATATTTATTACATTTCCTTCTCTCTTCCTTCTATATTAACTTAAATCTAGGAAAGGTACTAAAATGAACATACTTTTTCCTCTTAGGATTATAGAGATTGGGAAGAATATAAGGTTACTGATTTATTTTTCTTCTATAAAGTTCACTGTTGTACTGATTTCAATTACTGTAAATGTGCTTTTTATAATTAAGTATACTGTCTTCAGACTGCAGTACAACAGATCACTTTGGAAATGTAATGGAACAAAAATGCTAGGATACACACTCGAAGACATATTACTATCTTCTTTTTAAGGTATGATATTGTAAAATTCCAAACTGGAAGCTAATTGAATAGTTTTTATCCTTATTCCTAGATTAAAATGCCAAGAAAGAAGGAAAAGATGGGGGATAAAGTGTTCATATTCAAGATTATGAAAATAAAACTATTACAATTTCTAAAAACCAAGTATAAATTTATAAATAAAAATAAGGGGGTAGTGTCCATTGTAGAGAAAAGCTTTATCTGGGTGGCCTCTAGACTTCACGATAGATATTCAAGATAGGGAAACTACTCCATTGTCCAGACTTCACCAAACTAACCTGTGATGATAAGACACTCATTGTGATCCAGCACTTCAGTGAAGAGTCGTGAAACAATCAATTCAGGATTGATCAAAAAGCGGATTTCTTCTTGTACAAGTCCTGCACTGGTTACACCACCACCAACAAAACGGTTTGCAAAGTCCACCTTTGTGGGAAAATGTGACATGTTAGATGGTCTAAAATACCTATATATATGATAAAGAAGTGTACTCCTTTTAAGTGGTCATTTTCCTGTTCTTTGCTATATAAATCGATCCCCCAAATTATTAATCAATCTTCCCGGGGAAAAAAGATTGTGGTTGACTACATTCTTTTTACCTCATTGTAGTTAGTATCACTGCATATCAATATGGATTCTAGAAAACCTTAAAAGAAACTTGGAAAATAGAGCTTTTAGGCAAAAGACTCAATGTATTTGTATTGCCTCTTGCTTATAAACATTTGTGGTCCAATGACCACAAGTCAAGGGAGGTCTTTACATGGAAAGATTTCAAGGTCATTTCCCCACCAATCACTATTCACTTTCCCTTTGTGTATTTTATATAGTATAACAATTAAATATTTGTCCTTAAAGAATTGAAAAGTTTAGAGATTGACCTTTTTTGAGTAACCTTTTTCTTCTGTGTAAAAGTAAAGGGATAGAATTTCTTCCTTCTAAATGCAACCTCGGACACCAAACTGCATGAGCAAACTTTTTTTTTAAATATAGGGAGGGGGCCTCCCTGGTGGCACAAAGGGTGAAGACACAACCTATGAAGCTGTCCACAGCCACTGCAGCATGAGTTCGATCCCAGGCCAGGGAGCTAACCACATGGTGCAGCAGACCTCTCCTGATTCGCCTACTGTTCCCCTCAGCAGTGTATTTCAGTCAGTCTGCCTATTCTGCTCCCCACTCTGTCTCTGGTGAATCCTCTCACCCCTCACACCTCTGGCCTGTGCCCCAGCTCTTGTATGCATAAATAAATCTTTAAAAATAAACAAACAAATAAATAAATAAATGGAGGAAAATGAAGTAAGACAGAAAACCCAATTTAGCAAGAAAGATTCAACTAAATTAGTATTTCCAATTTGGTTTAAAACTATATATAAGCATTCCATGGAGCACTATGATCAGATTCCCAAGTGCCAATTAATAAAGATGAGTTATATAAGATGAAGAGAAAGCACACTAAACTTGCTGGCATTATTTCAGTTCTAAAACATGCTAAGATGGGATTCAGGCAGAGTGATGATCAGTAACGATCCTAACAGTATATACTTGATATTTTCCAAATGAAACAATTAACTAAAATCAGAACATGGGGAAAACAGGGGAGACATGGCATTCTATCTAGATTTAGCTGACACTCAGGTAAAGGAATAGCTGTATCTCTGAATCATATACACTACTGCAAACCAATGTTACCTCAACAAAAGATCCACTAAATGTAATATGCCTCTGAAAGCATGGGGTCTTTTAGAAAATCAAAATTTCTACTTAAAAGTTAATAAAAGGCTCTCTATTATAGGTGAGAAATATACATAAAACTGAGCATATGAGTGTGTCTTTATTTTTAAGCAGTTATTTTTTAAGTCACTTTAATTTAAACCTATTTGTTCAGATTACTTAGTTTCTGAATTATAACTTGATGAAAAGAAATGATAACACTCCTAGAAAGTTTTGTTATGTTGCCATTCAGCATAATGTAATTTATATGCTACAGAGGGTTTTGCAGCACTGCAATACAATATTCCCTGATCTCCTGGGGATGCATGGCATGGGTGGAGTACAATTAATAGTGCTAGAAGCCTTTATTGTATTCTTTTAATCGACTGAGGTCTCACATTTCATCTATAATATATTCCAGGGTGGGGAGAATCTCAGCTTTGAATGTTGCTAAATAATTCTATGCAGAATTGTATTCTAATGAAAGGTCAGCATTCCTGTGGTGCTAAGTAGCAGTAGCTTTGTTTATTTCCTCTGTATTAAGACTCCCTCAGTTAATCGAAGAATTTAATGTAGGAAAAAAAGTCATGGAGCGGGAAATGTGAGGAAAAAGTGATATTCATTTGAAATAAATTTTAATCACATTTCAAAATTATGGTTTAAAATAGAAAAAAAGCTATTGATTGAAGACAATTTTAAAAGTTTTTAAATTCAAGGATAGGAAAAATGTTAATTCCTTATCCTAAGTATATTTGTTTATAATCTCAAAGAATCATTAGGAGAAAATGATTTAAAATAAAACATTGTTTGCCTCTTTGAAGATTTTTTTTTTTTAAGATTCATCTATTTATAAATACAAGAACCAGGGTACAGGCCAGATGCATGGGAGGGTGAGAGGATTCACCAGAGACAGAGTGGGGAACAGAACAGGCAGACTGATGAAATACACTGCTGAGGGGAGCAGCGGGCACAACAGGAGAGGTCTGCTTCGCCATGTGGGACTCTCACTGGCCAGCCATGATCGAACCCACGCTGCAGAGGCTGCGGACAGCTTCACAGTGAGGTGCTCAACCAACTGTGCCACCAGGGAGACCCCTCTTTGAAGATTTAAATTACAAAATATGTTGAAAAATAAAATGCCATTGTGAAAAAGAATTGCAGGTCATTTGGCACTAGAGCAAAAGTGTATAATAACTAGCCAGATGCAAACCAGTCGGCTCTTTTATAATAAATATTAAGTTATTCAAACAAATTAGTTCATTCTCAGGCAACTGCTTCACTTAGTTTCTAACATCAAATAAAAATCTAGAAAAAAAATCCGCTATTCCCACAAAAAATGAAATACACAAGCTTCTCTCTAAGGAAACTAAGTTTATAATGCTCTTATAAGTGACCTAAGAACTTAACATTAACATTGTCTTTGATTAGTGATTTAAAAAGAAAAGGTCACTATAAAGCAAAAAGAAAGCATGTCTCAGGTTTGTTATAATTTAAAGCTAGATATACAGCTTTGTTAACTCCCTGTTCCAAAAATATTTTGTCTAGTAAAGGCAGTAACACTGATTAATAATAAGGATTGAAAGATGGACAAAATTATCTGTTCTAAAACAGGGAAACAATAGCAAGCATAGTTGTTTCACATGCCTGAAACTGTTACATATGGGAGAGAGGAATTTCTTATCAATCAGTTTTAGATGTCTGCTTCCTAGACCTAAACAAGATTGGTGGCAGAAAAACATCTCCAGCTGGTCATCGTTTAGGGCAGAGCAAGGGCCTTTAAAAAAAAAGAACAAAATTGCTTGGTGACAGCTTCTCAAGACAGTACTCTGGGAACTTCTTCCACTGTCAATCTACAATCAATGTCTGAACCAAGAGGTCTGATGTTGTCAAGATCTTAGGATTTTCTGTCAAAAGGTTTTTTTTTTTAAAGGCACATGTAAGAAAGAGAGAGTGTACTTGGCAAATAACAGTATTACCGAGGCTGTCAAAATGATCTGTTTGGTGTTTTTCTCTATTCTATCACGCTTCTTTGCATTAAATCAGCAGAAGATAAATAAACAGCTTTTCAAATTTCCTTTGCTGTCAGAAATTTGACAAGACAAAGTCTCAAACACCCACGTACTGCCATGATTCACCTACCTGTAGCATGCCTTGACCATTTCCTTCTATAGTACCTTCATAAGTGACATGTAATCGAGTCAGAGGTTTTTCACATCTACAATTAAAAGATATTCCTTTATTTTTTTAATGACAAATATTTCACTACAGAAAAATCTGAAAATACAGAAAAGTTCAAAAGAAAATTAAAAACACTAGAGAACAGAAACAGATGCCTAATGTTAATTCTTGGTATAGATACCCCCAAACTTTTCTTATTCAAATACATAATGTATTTAAATTGAGATAAAATATTGTCTTGAAACCTGTCTTTCCCCTATAACATAACAAAGTTTCTTCTAAGAGTTGAAAAACTTCTCAAAATATAAAAAAATTAAGATGTATGAAATGTATTATGCTAGAGTAGGCAACCTGAGGAATGACATAGAAATGGTACTGAATCATGATTCACAGATGGGCTCTATTTTCACTTGTTTGATAACCATATGCATGTGTGTATGTGTGTGTGTGTGTGTATGGGTGTCCTGATGAAAACACATGCCACAGAAATTCTGATCACTGGTATTTTTATAATAAATTGACAGATGAACTTAATACCTATAAGTCACAACTGTTTTCTTTCTCTTTCATAAATCATGATCACTGGGGTGTTGATGAGATATAGAACATGCTACTCCAAAATATGGCCTGTTGACATGCTGAGTATTTTAAGCTGCAGAAGTCTGAGAAAATGACAGAAACAAGAAGGTCACTCTGACTTTCTCCACACCTCATACTTCCTTTCAGGAACAGGACACAGAAACCTAAATGAAAGATGTCCTCCCTATACCCAGAGGAAGAGGGTACTTTTATCTCTGAGGACAAAAGGACTTTAAGAAGAATCCTAATGGGCCTCCCCCGGTGGCGCAGCGGTTGAGCACTAGGCTGCAAAGCTGCCCGCAGCTTCGGCAGCACTGGTTCGATACCCAGGCACCAGCGAGGGTCCCACATGGCGCGCAGACCTCTCCTGCCGCGCCCGCTGCTCCCCTCAGCAGTGTATTTCGGTCCATCTGTCTGTTCTGTTCCCCGCTCTGGCTCTAGTGAATTCTCTCACCCACCCATGCTTCTAACTGTACCCAGTGCTTGTATAAATAAATAAATCTAAAAAAAAAAATCTTAATAAGTAGGTCTTATTCTTTCCTCAGTCTAATACACCTTTTCCATACTCCTTAACCTATCATATTCCTCCAGAAGTCTTTATCAGACAGTATAAAAATACACAGGTCTGTTTCTTTGGGCCTTCAGTTCCTTATGAAAACTACTATATCAAATAAAGCTTACAATAAATCTATACATTTTTCTCCTATTAATATTTGTCGGTTTAATTTTCAGATCCAGTCACAGACCCTAAGAGGGTCAAGGTAAACCTTTTCCTCCACTATAGAGTTTACTTGGTTTATATTATAAACCAATTCTATATCATTAACAGTACTTAGCAATGACCTTATTACTAACTGCTTTTATAGAAGGAAAGACAAAGCAAAGAAAGCATATAAGTAATCTGTCCATGGCTAGAAGCAACAGAGATTTGAACTTTGGTAGCCTATGTCAATGGTCCAAGTTCTTAACCAGTATATTATACTTTTAGAAAAATTACTTTTAAATCTGTTGAAAGTAATACCATACGTTTGATATTTTTAAACCTCCTTTTTTTGGGGGGTGGGGAATCCTATTTTCCTAGCCATTTTATTCAAACAAAGACCACTTGTGAGAGTACAACTGAAAAGCAGCATGATGCAGTCATCATTGGTATGTCAGTCAGGATTTCAAAACAGAAATCTCATCTGTTGCCAACTATTCTCCATGACTAAAGTCGACAATTTATAGTTAAGTTCTCAAAAAATTATGAAATGGTTAGAAACTAGTTTTTTTTTTAATCAACTTGCTGGTATTTTTAAATCAACTTGCTGATAGGTATCCCCTTTTGACTCCAGAGAATCCCTTATACCACTGGCCAGACTATGAAAGACATAGTCTATTGTAGCACTCTGTGATTAACTAAGCTTGGCTAAGATACTTACTAATAATCAAAGGGTTAACTATAACGTGCTAGAAACTGGACAATCAGAAAATCCTCTAACTTCCTGGCACCCACTTAATCCCTTACTCTTGGGAATATCAATAATCCTCATCTCTTCTTCATGTGAATGCACCTTCTTCATTCTATGTGAATGCATGTTTGTGGTTCTGTGAAGTCTAAAGACACCAATTTTAATTTTATTCTCCAATTCACTTATGAAGCAAATAAAAGAAAAAAGATCAATAAAATAAAAAACTTAGAAAGGTTATCAAGTGAAATTCTGCTTATCAAAGTCAATCTTAAGAGCAAATTTATCTCACTGACACAGTAGCCTCGCCAATCTTTGCATTTCAACCTATTCCTTCTCTCCTGGATTACAATGTACAAATGGATGTCCTTTAACATTAGAGCCAAATGAATGTCAGATGCAGAGTAGAGATTCTGAGCTGAATTAAAACAAGCCCTCTGAATGGTCTATAAAATCTATACTAAAGTATAGATACTAAAGTAACATGAACAAAAACATCCATATTTCTATACTAAAGTAAGATGAATAAAAACATCCAAACTAATACAAGAGCTAAGAAAGCAATTCTTACTGCTTTTTTTCAGTTTATTTAATTTTATCCATTTTCTTCTACTAATAATCATCTCAGTCATGCATTCCACTCTTAAAGTAAGTTTGCTTTTCTTTCACCTCACAAATAAGTACCTTTAATGGATGAAAGTCACCTAAGCAGATTTGCCTTCTCCAGGTAACTCCCTTAAAAATGAGTCTCTTCCATTATTCACTCCAAACATAATTACAAACTATGATAAAAATTATCATTAGGTAAAAATGAGTGGCACTGCTTAATAATAATGCACATGCAAAATATAAACTTAGTATGCTTAATTATGGCCTCAAAGTGTGTTTAGAAAGTAGATCCATTCTTTTTTAAGTGCTTTGGTGATTTGCTCAGATTAGGAAATGTGTTAACTATTTGAGGGCATTAAGAAATTTACTAATTTGAATGAACCCAGATTGGCTATTATTCTCCTCAGTATTTGCAGATAAATTAGTAAGGGAAAAAAGGTACATTAGCAATTTTCACAAAATGTGCCACCTAGGAGATGGGATAGTTAAACTTCAAAATTCTTCCCAATCAGAATCTAGGTAATTAATATTTACATTTTAGTTTAACAAAAAAAAAAAAAAAAAACTTTTCCCAGTCTTGTCTTTCAGAAAGAAAGTCATAAAACACAAAACACAAATACTGACCAAAAAGAAGGGTGAAAATGAACATTTAAATATTGATAGTCCACTAATTTTAGTGTCTTTATACATAAAACTTAATTCTAAATATGCCTTTGTGTCAGAAGATAAAACTTAGTCAAAACAGTATAAGTCAAAAGGTTACACACTTTGATTCAAAAGGTATACCTTGTTAATAATGAGAGCTATCAAAGGATCAATTATGAAACTTCCTAATACTAGGGTATTTAGAGGTTGGGAAACCATCTTCCCAGGGGCTACAAAATAGAATCCTCTCATGATTTGAAAAAAAAAAAAGTCCTTTTAATTCTAAGATTCCATGATTTTTTTTTTATTATTACCTTTCCCACTCTGGAAAATCTTCAAGACTCTGTCGTGTAAATGTCACCAACCCAGTAGGTTCTACAAAAGCAATAGATGAAAAATACCCAAGGTAAGTTTCAGTTCTGAAGAGATTACATACGTTCCACATAATAATGGGTCTGACAATGACTATAAAGCAAATCAGGAAATACCAAGTATAGCAGAGGAATACAATAGAAGTGTGATTTAAAATAACATTATCCTTATAGTAGGAACTTTTATGATCCAGCAATTCCACTCCTAGGTATTTACCCAAAGGACACAGAAACATCAATTCCAAAGAGCACCTGCACCCCTATGTTTATTGCAGCACTGTTTACAATAGTTAAGCTTTGGAAACAACCCAAATGCCCAAAAACAGATGACTGGATCAAGAAGATGTGGTACATATACACCATGGAATATTACTCAGCATTCAAAAAAGATAAACACATGCAATTTGCAGCAACATGGATGGCGCTGGAAGGGATCATGCTCAGCGAAATAAGTCAGAAAGAAAAAGAAAAATACCGGATGGTCTCACTCATAGCAGGAATCTAGAAAACTTAAATAAGGGACCAGGAAAATGAATAACTATAAGAAAGTGAAAATCAAAATCAACAAAAAACTATGAACCAGAGACACTCTATGGGGGGGGCGGGTAGGGAGGGGAGGGATTGGGGTCAAAATAAGGGGATTGCAATTGTATGGGGAATATAAAAATAAAATTTATTTTAAAAAATTTAAAAAAATAAAAATAAATAAAATAAATTAAAAAAATTAAAAAAAAATAAAACCATAAGCCTTCACTAAACAAAACTATACAAATAACAATACAACTACAGAATTTGAGTGCTAGTACTTTTTGGTGAGGTTTTTCAAACTAAATATTCTTTCAAACAAATCACTGAACAAAAGGATATATAACGGGGCTTCCCCGGTGGCGCAGCGGTTGAGCGCGGGGTTGCGAAGCTGCCCGCAGCCTCTGCAGTGCCGGTTCGATCCCCGGCTGCTCCCCGGCCACCAGAGGAGGGTCCCACATGGCGCTCAGACCTCTCCTGCCGCCCGCTGCTCCCCTCAGCAGTGTACTTCGGTCCGTCTGCCTGTTCTGCATCCTGCTCTGACTCTGGTGAATTCTCTCACCCTCCCGCGCTTCTGACTGTGCCCAGTGCTTGTATGAATAAATAAATAAATAAATAAATCTTTAAAAAAAAAAAAAAAAAAAAAGGATATATAACGGGTGTAGCTTATAAGATAAAGAGAAAAGTGAATTTTTAATCTGTAGACTTCTTCTCAAAGTCAGGTTTTAACTCTACACCTAAAGACTGGTGAATGTGTCCACATTTACATGCTTTTATAATAAGATAATATGTTTAAGATTAAAAAAGGAAATAGCTGGTGTGAGCTTTGGAGTTGACAGAGTTCAATTCAGGGCTCAGACAATATGCATTTGCTCTACTTATAAAGAGCATTAGCCGGAAGGAGGAATTAGTGTGTTCTAAGAGGTTAGAGAAGAAAGATAACACAGTTTTCAAAAAGCAATAGATAGTAGAGGATCAAAATGCAATAATTTTAGATCCTTTCTTTTGTTTAAAAAAAAAAAAAACTAGTGGCAAAAACAACAAATAAATCAGCAGGCTAAAAGTAATCTATGTGATTCGAATCAAAGAAGAAACTAAAAAGGCCAGGCCATTTCTGTTTTCTTCTGCTAAAATAAAAGTTCTTAAGCAAAGAGCAGTATGTCAGGAACTATTAGTGGTAATGGTAGTAGAGTACCAATGAAAGCTTGGTTATCCTTTGGATGATTTCATATTTCTCTCGGAAGCAGAAGCAACTCAAAAATTACATGCAGTAGTTTAGAAAACAGAATTTTGTTAGCATGGATTTTAAAATATTCCTTAGATATCTAAGTTTAAAACAAATGGATAGTATACTTAAAACTTACAAGTAAGAAGTCAAACAATTCAAACATGAGAGAAGCTATTCTATCAACAGTAAATATTAAATGTCCTCCACATACATAAAAGAGAACAAGAGAAATTCATAAATGAACATTGCTGGTAAAGCAAGAAAAGGCAAGAAACCTGGCTCTTTAGCACTGAGATTATGCCTATTACCTTTAATCCATAAAAAGGCTCCTTTTTTCTCAAAGTATTTTATTTGGGTTAATCAAATAATTCTCTTAATAAAATCACAATATAAACGACATGAATCACCAACTTTTAAATACTGTATAAAATACTTTATCTAAAGCTATATTGAAAATGATTTAATACAGAAAGTTCTTTAAAAGCTTTTAGTCTCTGGCCTCCCCTGGTGGTGCCGCGGTTGAGCACTGGGCTGCGAGGCTGCCCGCAGCCTCTGCAGCGCAGGTTCGTAACCGGCAGCCGGCAAGGGTCCCACAAAAAAAAAAAAAGCTTTTAGTCTCAAGATCCTCACTACAAATATATTGATGTAAGACAACATGGAAAAGTTAGTTATGATAGAATTATATTCTGTGAATTCTAAAAAGCACATTTTGTCATGTACTTAATTTCTGAAACTGGGATACATCTTTAATATTGATATAAGTATTTAGTCATTGCTGTTGGTCTGGATTAATGTTGAACTTTTCCAGAGAAAATGTGCCCCACCCATCTGAGATCAGTATGAATTAAATCCTCTTGCAGGCTTTTGTGTACCACACTGGTTCTCTGACTTCAGTCCCCAAACTTCTCAGGGGAGAAGTTTTCTCTCTCTCCCTCAGTGACAATGCTGACACTTGTGTCTTTGTTGTCCCTTAATTCTTAGACTAAGGGTACAGACCTTCAATCGACCAGCTTTATAAGAGAGGTCTTCTACAACTCTCTACCCTGAGAGTTTTTTCCTTTTTAGTAGTACAAAACATAATGGCAGGTCTTACCATCTATAATGTCCTAGATTTAATGAAATCTAGGTACTTTAAATAAATAGGTTTCCACAGTTTCTATTCAGGACTCCAGAACTTCTATATAACCTAATCATTCAGCTGCAAATCTTTTATTCCACTTATTTATTTCCTCCTTAAGCCTGTAACTTCATATCCTGAAAACCTATACCATGTTTTACTATATTCCACAAAGAACTAAATTACCATGTGCAATGAAAAAGCCAGAAGGTAAAATGTTTAATTAGAACTTATTTTTTTGAGCCTAATTCCTAATACTTATGATGGTTTATAAATTACTTGGTACAAAACAGAGTTTAGCTATTTCCCTCAGTTTCAAATCCCAAATTTAGAAAATAAGTTGGCTTTAGAGAAGTCATACATTATTGACTCCAAGGACAAAAATGTAAATTTTGAATAACGTCAGTAAAATAATGGTATTCATTCAACTGAGATATAGAATAGCAAAAAAGTACTCATTTTTCTAATAAATTATTACAAATTCTAATTTAGTTTTGTCTCATAAAGTCCACATAATCTTTCATTTTCCTTAATATTTCATTCAGTACAGAGCACAAAACTAAAAATCATAAACTAAGAGATAAATAGCTCTGTATTAAAGAAGCATATGATTCTTTCCTTTAAATACTGAATTTCTAGTAATTGACTTCATTCTAAATAGCTAAACAAAGTCCAGTAACAACATTAAAGGGAGAAAAATGCCAAGTAAGCTATAATGCAAGATTACTTATTAAAGGAAGCACAGGAGAAAGATGAGCTTAAAATGATTCGGTGGTAAGTTTTAAGACATCCCCAAAACCTAGATGGGTAGAACTGAAATGAACTCACTTCACTTGACTGGAGCTGACCTGCTCACCAAAAGCAAACTTTTGAGAAGTTCCATTTTTCTTTATAATTGAAAGAAAGGTCAGTCACTGATAAGAGCTAACATTTATTAAGCATCTAACTTCTCATTTAATATTTACAATTATCCTCTGAGGTAATTATTATTCTTTTATATTACAAATGAGGAAACTGAGGCTTAGAGATGTTAAAAACTTGTCCATGATCACCCAGCTCCTGGGATAAGAGTGACAATTCCAATCTGTTATCAGCTGGTCATTGCTAGCAATGCTAGACTACTGCCTTGAGTGCTATTACTAGCCTCGAGGAAAGGAACAAAGACTTGTAGACTCTAAATACAACACTGTTCTATAAGAACACTACAAAAGATTGGGGTGGGGGGTGGACAAAATAACGGGATAGGTAGGAAGGTAATGAACTGGCTGACCTATGCAAATACACTTAAAATAATTAAAGCAGTCAATGCTTCTTTAAATAAAGAACATGCAAAACACATTTCCTGGTCAATATGCTTTCTCTTAAAAATATTAATTTACTGTTTTTATTAATGAAAATCCATTAGGATATCACAGTATACAAAAATCTCACACAACACAGATTAATGTATATACATACTTATGCATATTATATAGATTTTAAGAGTGAATTATTACTGTTTCAATGTGGTTCAGGCAGGAAAAGTATACTTTGAACACAAAGTGTCCTTGAAATGTCAGTTGATCTAATTGTCCCCCTTGGTGATAAAAATTATAGCAAGAATGAAAGGGATTTACTTTTCTCTGTGACTCTTCGAAAGTAGCAGAAGAGTGTTTTAAGCTTCTCTGGTTTCCTTGATGAACGTCCTTCAAACAATCTGAAAAAGACAAAAAAATAAATGAAGGATGATTTAAAATGCTATAATGATTCACAAAAAACTAAATCTATATTGTACCCAAACATAAAAAAGGTAATCCTTCCAGAAGGCAATAACAAAAGAGAACTAGAAAACTGGTTTGGACTCATATGATACCTGGAGAGGACTGAAACCCACTAGAACCAGGCTTCTTGGGTTGTTCAAGTCAGACGGCACTCTAACCACCACAGTTCTCCAATCTATCTTCCTCCAGGGAGAACGTACCATCTGCTCCCCAAAGTCAATTAGGAGAGTGAGTGAATGCTTTATAATTTTCCCAATGGCAAATACTGTTTATAGTTCATAATATTAGTAGGTAAAGAGATTGAGCAAAAAAAAATGTACATGATTGTGTTGGGATGGGGGGACAACAGCGATCAGAAATGGGTATGACAAGATATTGGAGGAGTGACCAGTCCTTGGTAATGAAACAAATATATTCTTTGCACAGTAGCCAAAGCAGGGCCTACCCTATGCCATCTAGTTTCCAGCAACCTGGACTTGCACTACTTAATTCAGTTTTCTTTGAAATGATGTGACATTGTTACTGGTAACATGTAATGCAATTTATCCTGAGGAAAGAAAAGCAGGGCTTTGGAAGCATAGACCTGGGAAAGTGGTTCACTAAAGATTTCAAACACAAAGGCATGCTTTAGGGCACAAGGTCTAGCTTTCCAAAGGCATCTAACAATTATAGGGAAATTCTGTGGCTATAAATGCTGAGATGTTATTCATCTGCCTCTAGTCATATACTTGAACTTTAAAAGCAGAAACCTTTCAAATAGAAGTTCACTTTAATAAGTGCAGAAATAGGTAAAATATTTCATGATCAGAAAAGCAAGCTTACATAACAATGCAGAGAGGAAAAAGTTAATTTCACGAGAAAATCCTGTTGAGACTGAAATGAATTAGCAAAAGGAAAGGAAATGCAAATTTCAAACGATCTTGTTTTCAATGATCTGAAATTCTGTATTCAGGGTCAATTTCTGAATAAACAATTTATAGGAACACATATTTCCTAAAAAGAATACTAGTATCAGAAAACATTTTCACCAAAATCTAACTTAATTTAAAATAAGATCGATTTTTAAAAATAGCTCGAGTGACTTGTGTGAAAATTTTTACTCATCTAAAAGAACTTATATTTTCTTAAAATGTTAAATGCAAATACTTTAAAAATCTAGCTTCGTGCTGAAAGAATCTTTGATGGTACAGGCTTCCACTTGGCTTCTTCTGCAATATGCCAACCAGAATACAGTTTCTTTAAATCAAAATGATAGTCAAATGAAAAAGTCACTTGGGGGTTTAATTAAACATCCTGTATCAGGATACAAAATCAACACGCAAAAGTCAGTAGCCTTCCTATACACAAACAATAAATCTGAAGAAGAAGAAATCAAAAAAACCACCCCTTTTATTATCGAAACAAAAAAAATCAAATATTTGGGAATAAATCTAACAAAAGAGGTAAAGGACCTATACAAAGAAAACTATAAAACACTGTTAAAAGAAATAGAAGAAGACACAAAGAAATGGAAAGACATCCCCTGCTCATGGATTGGAAGAATAAACATTATTAAAATGGCCATCCTACCAAAAGCAATATACAGATTCAATGCTATTCCAATCAAAATCTCAATGGCATTCTTCAAAGAAATAGAACAATTATTGATGAAATTCATATGGAATCACCAAAAACCCCGAATAGCCAAAGCTCTACTGAAAAAAAAAGAAGGAAATGGAGGCATCACACTCCCAGACTTCAAACTATACTACAAAGCCATAATCATCAAAACTGCATGGTATTGGAACAAGAACAGACATACAGACCAATGGAATCGAATAGAAAATCCAGAAATAAACCCACAGATTTATGGTCAACTAATCTTTGACAAAGGAGCAAAGACTATGCATTGGAGCAAAGAAAGTTTGTTCAATAAATGGTGCTGGGAAAACTGGGTCGCTACATGCAAAAGAATGAAGCTTGACCACTACCTCACACCATACACAAAAATCAACTCAAAATGGATTAAAGAACTAGACATAAGACCTGAAACCATAAAATACATAGAAGGAAATATAGGCGAAACACTACGGGATTTGCACATCAAAGACATCTTTACAGACACATCACCCAAAGCAGTGATAGTGAAGAGAAAGATAAACAGCTGGGACTACATCAAATTAAAGAGCTTCTGCACAGCAAAAGAGACAATAACAAAAACAAAGAGAAACCCCACCAACTGGGAGAACATTTTTGCACCCAACACTAATGATAAAGGACTGATCACAAAAATCTGCAAAGAGCTGATGAGACTCAGCAACAACAAAGAAAATAATCCAGTCAAAAAAATGGGCAGAAGAGCTAAAAAAGAAACTTCTCTGAAGAGGAAATGCAAATGGCCAACAGACATATGAAAAAATGTTCAACATCACTTGTAATCAGGGAAATGCAAATCAAAACTACCAAATGAGATACCATCTCACACCAGTGAGAATGGCACATATTAAAAAAACTAGCAACAACAAATGTTGGCGAGGATGTGGAGAAAAAGGAACTCTTGTGCACTGTTGGTGGGAGTGCAAACTGGTCCAACCACTATGGAGAGCTGTGTGGAGATTTCTGGACCTACTAAACATAGAGCTTCCATATGATCCAGCAATTCCACTCCTAGGTATTTACCCAAAGGACACAGAAACATCAATTCCAAAGAGCACCTGCACTCCTATGTTTATAGCAGCACTGTTTACAATAGCTAAGCTTTGGAAACAACCCAAATGCCCAAAAATAGATGACTGGATCAAGAAGATGTGGTACATATATACCATGGAATATTACTCAGCATTCAAAAAGAATAACACATGCAATTTGCAGCAACATGGATGGCACTGGAAGGGATCATGCTCAGCGAAATAAGCCAAAAAGAAAAAGAAAAATACCGGATGGTCTCACTCATAGCAGGAATCTAGAAAACTTAAATAAGGGACCAGGAAAATGAATATAAGAAAGTGAAAATCAAATCAACAAAAACTATGAACCAGAGACACTTTTTTGGGGGGTGGGGGGGGGCGGGAGGGGAAGGATTGGGGTCAGAATGGGGCGTTGCAATTGTATGGGGGAATATAAAAAATAAAATTTAATAAAAAAAAAAAAAAAAAAAAAAAAATAAACATCCTGTATCAAATAAATATGATTTATTAAATGAACACCTTGAGCTCCATTGCAAAATCCCTTTCTAGGCTTTGCTTAGAGATTAATACAACTCAATTAAGGGGAAAGTTCCTCTTCCACAGAACTGTTGCACAGGAGAAAATAGCAATTGTCCTTTACAAATAATTCCCCAAACATAAAAAGATCTTCTACCTTTTATACGTGGTCAGTTTGTAAAATCACATAAAAGTTCACATATTTCACCACCATGATGACAATTAATTAACCATAGGAGCCTCTAGAGACCACAGATTTATTACCCTAGCAATATGGACTTCCCTGGAAAATTATATGGCTGTTATTATTACCCACTACAAGCAAGTTATTTTGTAGGTCCAAATCTTACAGACACAAATCAAGCAGAATCTCAGTGTTCTGTTTATGCATTGCTCCAAGCTTAATTTCAAATCACTATGTAACCAAATATGCTTTTCCATCTTCCTGATGGAGCAGGAAGATGAAAGGTGGAGAGAAAGTTAGATGAAATGAAGCAGGTTTAAAACCCTTGTGCCAATTCTCAGACTTGGCTGTTGTAAAATTTTAAAGTAGTATATAGAAGCACACAAATAAAAAGAATTACCCTGGTACAAAAGCAAGCAAAAATAACATAAAAATACAGCCATCGGCATGAATAAAAGTCATCACCAGAATGAGATATTATCTGAAGGACAGTGTTGGTGGTAGTGGGGGGTGGGAGGTGGGAGGGAGAAGACAAAGGACTGAATCCAGAAAGGGTGAGACAGAAAGATGGGGGTTGGGGGCTGGAGGGTGGGGGGGGACACAGAGACATAGTAGAGAATGACAGAAAGGGGGTTGGAGAGGGAAGGAGTATATGAGAGACAAAAACACTCTCACACAAATACTCAGATAAACACAGAGAGACTCAAAGCAAATGAGACCTTCTCACAATAATCAAGCACAATCCAATTTTTTAACTTCTTAACACTAAATTTTTTTTAATTCAGATTTTCAGGTCTTGGGGATGTATGGCTTGGTATGCATATTTTAAGTTGGCAGGCGCACAGTAAACATGCACATAAAGTAGGCCATAATAACACCTCTGCATGTAAGGAAAGCATTTTGGCATTTAACTGAATGATAGTTACAGATTAATTAAAAGAGGCAAACAGAAAAATCCAGCCAGATAACCTCACTTTTGTTCTTAACAAAACTGTTTTTATTTCAAGAGAATAAGTTAATAAAGGGTCAGATACTTACTAACTGGTGTTTTCCTTTCCATACATATAAAGAGAAACATAGTTTAATGAAATTTTTCCCTGAATGGAATATTGATAACATTACTGGAATTGGATTCTAGACACACACACACCCCCATGTGATTTCAAGTTAAGGATTAATCCAATTAGTTACAGTAAATCAAACCCCAAACACCATAACATCTACTTTAAAATGGAAGCAAGTGCTAATCCGGAACCCAGCCAGAAAGTTGCTCTTGGCTTTTCTGTGAAGCACTTTGCCATATGGCCCCAGCAACATTTTCAATCCAGGGAAGAGACAGATGTAAAAGCCTCCTGGGCTGACCACTGCTGCAACCTACAATTAATCTCTGACCATCAGTTTCTAAGCAATCTCAGAAGCATCAATGCTAATCACATTGGAAGCCTTTATATAAATGTTTAGGCCCTGAAAGGCAAGCAGGGGAAAAGGTCAGGGGTAGTTAACATAACTAAGCAAGGCTGGAAGAACACAACAATAAATTTAAAAAGAAGACTTATTCAATTTATTGACGTCAACCTCCTACCACATTCTCTTAACATTA